ATCATATGGGCCTTGAAACTAATTTAGGTAAAAAATCTTCAAGTCATCCTAAGGAAATCAAGCATTCCATAAGGGCCTAAAAAGAACAGTAGAACCCTCTAATAATAGAGCAAAGCCTTTGCACCAAGAATGCTCTGTTTGGATTTAACCTAGTAAGCCGTGATAATTTGATCCATTAAAAAATGCAGGAATATCATAGAAGAAAATGCAAGATCTTAGATTAAGGAAATATTGTTTTTCGTAAAGATGACCTTTGCATTATATATCTTCATATTTTACATATCATGGAAAGAAAAGAGAAAGTATTAAGTTAGCCAAATGGCGATTAAATGCTAGTTACAGGAGAATTGACTACTGACAGAGAAAATAAAACCTCTATAAACTTGTTTAATTAATGATATGTTGGAGGAGATTGCATGTTTATTAACTAGTCAGTCACACATCATCTACTAATCCAAGCAGTAGGAAGGAAATTCTCATGGCTTACCATGATTTTTGGCACATAATAGCTTCATTTACTACTTAGGAAAAAAGAGGGCAAGTGAGAAATGATGGGAATTTTTTATGATGACAGAAGTTTCACCTTTTCATAGAACAATCAAAACTATACACTTGGTAGCATGATTGACAGTATGGGAAAAAAGCTACACAAAGAACCACTATTATCTGTTATGAGTGTGTCCTACTGTGTCACCTAACCTGACAATTTCCAGGCGACAAATACATCCTATTGAGCACTCCTATCGAGTCATATTAGCAACTACTAGTCTATCAACAGTGTTAGAGTACCATTGGTCAAACATAATAGTTAACTACTATTGAACGGATGATAGTAGGTAATTGATAAAAATTGACAACCCTATCAATTCCTCAGACGTCTCAGAACGGATGCTGGTAGGTAATTGATAAAAATTGACAACCCTATCAATTCCTCACACGTCTCAACCACAATTTGTAGTTGACAAAGTGCTTTTTAATGATTCTTAGCGGACTTATTCTTACAAGCTAGGGCAACCCAGGAGAAATTATTCTGTCCAAAGACCGGACGGCAATAACCATTCGGATTTGTTGCCCTTTAGTTGCCATTTTGCTGCGATTTTGCAAATATTCAATAAAAGGACAACAAATATGCAATGATGAATGTAATTTTGCTACCCTTTTGCTGAATATTTGCAAAAGCGCAGTAAAAGGACAACAAATTTTCAATTAGTAGGATATTTGCTGCGATTTAGCTTGCCTTTTGTTGTGCTTTTGCAAATACTCACCAAAAGGGTTATGAATGCATATTTGCTGTCATTTTGCTGAGTATTTGCAAAAGCGTAACAAAAAAAAAACATATAAAGTGCAGCAAATCCGGACGGTTCTTGCCGTCAGGTCTCCGCACAGAATAATTTCAGAACCTAGGTAGTTAGGTTCAACTCAACAACGACTTATCCCATTTCATTAAATTAAGCAAGTTTAGGTCGATGCCCTGAAAAATTCTTTGTATAATAAGAAAAACCAAATCTAATTAGACAGGAGTTCTTGAATAAAGTACAAGTGAGACTAGTTTTGAAGAAGACCAAATAGGTTCTATATGACATCAAGTATCTATCCATACTCACCTACACTATTGCTTAGTCAAAATAAATTGGAACCACTATTTCGAGAGTAATTCGTACACTGGACCATTCCATCAAGCAGCTATATGACTTTCAAGCAAATCATCACAAGAATTACCAAAGTGGATACTCTGAAACCATTTCTAATGAGTCAACTAAGTGGACCAATGCTGACCAGACATACACGCTCCAACTGGTTCAGCTCCATGGTCCAACCCAACTACCTTGCTAAAAATTAGGGATGATAAGGGTTGATAGAGGGCACGTGCCACCCAACATAAATTCAATGAAGCTTCCACGTCACACAAACAGGACACACATCCTACATATAACCTTGAATGTTGCAGATAACATCAGCCCATACATAAGATGTGATCCCTAATTGGGGCAAGTTTTCTAAAAGATCAAAGATCCAGTCTGTGAACCCTTATTTGTGTTGACAAGTATCTCGTGGAAAGCCAAAAAGTAATGCGACTTGAAAGTTTAAAAAGGGCAAAATTAGATTGAACTCTTCTTTGCAAAGGAGTCTAGCTTAGGTGGAATATAAATAAGAAATGTAGCACTTAGAGGTGACCTATGATGGAGTTTGATACTTGACTTGGGTATGTAACAAGCAACGAAGCTAAGCAGCTTAAAGAAATACACAATCTTCCCCATCCTTTTCCTTCCTCTGCTTTCCTATTCTTGAATAAGTCGGTTTCACTAGTTTCCTCCTCTAATCTATTCCATATGTAGCTTTAAATCTGGATGTCAACAATAAGAGTCAAGAATTTTTTATGATTCATCAGTTTTCTTTTACCATTTATCTTATTTTTGAAAGAAACTATTACTTGGTGT